ATAATTAGGGAGAAAAATATTAAATGATTGTAATTCTCCTTTTGTCTACAAGCATGGAGTATAAAACTAAAATAAACCTAACACCCCCTGGTGGCGGGCTCCAGTGTCAATATTAAGCCCCAAACCTTCAATGCAAATCAGTGTGACAATTTCCTTATTATAAAAATAATACATGCACCTCTGGTCTCTCTAGTTCTGACCTTGCTGCCTGTGTAGATTCAGCTTGATGTTTAAAGGCATAATATGCAACTATTTTATATTTAAAAAAATTTTTTCTTGAGCCAGTATGTGCTAAAATGACCCACAGGGTTATGGAAATATCACTTAGAGCACCACACCTCCTTTATAGCTGAATACCCACACTTGCAACTTCCCTGTTAGTAAAGTGGAGCTGACATGCTAGCACTGGAGGGCTGGAGTTTCCTGCATATTTTAGATCGTGACCACAGCCGATTTGTTTAATTTAGTGATGAACCTCTCCTGTAGACACTAATGAAGGCTGAGAAGACGTTTCAGCAGTTTGATTAAGGAGTTAAAAACACGAACGCACAGCGAGGAAATAACTTTTTTGCTTTCACAACAGCAAATTAATAACGGACTCTGTGTAGTTTTCCTTTAAGATTTCTGGGCTGTGACACAAAATTATGTAAAGTCAACAATCCCCAGGTTTCTGTGTATTTGGGCATTTTATTTACGTGCCGTGAATCTAGATATTGGTTCTGATGACAGCATCTGTTTTTATTAACGTCATAAATCCATTAATTCTGAGAACTTCTTGTTGCTTCTTTTAGAATTTTTGCTAAAATTGTTAAAGCTGAAAAATGTGTGTCATCAATAAATATTGAACTCTTCTGATGATCTCTTCTGTTTCACTGCAGAAAACTTGTTTAAATAATCAGAACAATTTCATTAGAAGTGAAATCTGTCTGAGGCCGGCTGTGTGAGCCACAGCCTCTGAGTGATTCAGAGAATTCCTGTTTTCCACATGATGACTGAAGCATCTAAAAGCTTCAGGGAAGAGATTTACTCACCAGTTTTTCCACTAATGTGCATCGTTACGTTTTCCTAGCAAGCATTTAGCTGTATTTTCCTTTTTTTAAACTGAAGAGGAGCTGCTAACCTTAATGTGCTTTCCATATGATTCAACATGTTGGGAATAAACGGCTGTTTGTTCTCGTTTGGAGATTTTAATAACCTACAAGCTCAGAAGCTTCACTTCCTGATTAAATTCTAATTCCTACGCGTTATAATCAGCGAGTCGTTTGGAAAGTTGATTAAAACAAGCTGCTATTAAAACCTGCGATCTGCTGATGGGTTGATTAATCATTTGGAGATAATTGGAGCGGGTGATGAAGAGCTGCTCATCAGGAGTCAGCCTGGAGAACACAAACAAGCTTCAGGAAGGGAGATGTTCGGGAAGCTCGGGGTCATTCTGGATGTTCCTCAGTGGGAGATGATTACGACTCCCAGATTTTCTGATTCAGATCAAACATAAAACAAAGTAGGTAAAGATTTAGGACAACAGGCGTCTTCCTCCTGCTTCTGTTGTTGAGGAGAAGCAGAAGAGCTGGAACTCCCACCTGGAGCTATTCCTGGTCTCATCTCTGTTGGCTTTAAAACAAACACTTAACCCTTTAATGCTTCCATCTGGCTCTTAAACCAGCTTTCTTAAACCTGTTGCATCTCACATCAGATGCTTATTTTCATCCATCAGCTGAAGCAGAAACGAGTTGTTTGTGTCGGTCTGAAAGGTTCCGATAATCCCATCGTTGACCTTGGGAGAAAACCAAAAGTCCTGCAGCACAAGCTGGAACGTTTTTCTCCTAAGCAAACAAATCCATAATCATTAATATAAATACAAAACCAAACCTTTAAATCAATCACAGTGACCCACATTATAACTTAAATTGAGATTAAAAACAACAACGATCCTAACATCTGCCGTCTAAAACAACTAGTAAAGGTTACGGGTGCATCAGTGGGTTGATGGTTCCATCCCACCATTAAGCAAACAGATGTTTGTTTTCCAGCTAATGATGCTTTCTACCTCCAGACATTTCAGAAGATTGTTTTTACCAAAAACTTCAAAAATGTCAAAAAAAAAAAAGAAAAAAGAAGAAACTAAATCTAGTCCACGTTTATAAATGAAGCACATTTTAAAACTGCGTGACAGCCGTCCAAAGTCCTGAACAGTGAGCATAAAGAGCAACAGAACACACAGGAGCCTAAAATCAAGCCTAACTCTAAAGCCTAAGCCTAAAATCAACATTCAAAGGCAAAATCCAAAATCTTTATTCCCAGATAACAATTTATAATATTAATATTTTTATTATTTTAGCAGCATCAAATCTGTCAAAAGAGAGGAAGTTGTGTGATAATATAATATAATATAATATAATATAATATAATATAATATAATATAATATAATATAATATAATATAATATAATATATAGTCATCGTCGCCGTCTTCCTCCGCTTATCCGGGTCACGGGGCAGCATCCCAACTAGGGAGCTCCAGACCGTCCTCTCCCCGGCCTTCTCCACCAGCTCCTCCGGCAGGACCCCAAGGCGTTCCCGGACCAGATTGGAGATGTAACCTCTCCAACGTGTCCTGGGTCGACCCGGGGGCCTCCTGCTGGCAGGACATGCCCGAAACACCTCCCCGGGGAGGCGTCCAGGAGGCATCCTGACCAGATGCCCAAACCACCTCAACTGACTCCTTTTGATCCAGAGGAGCAGCGGTTCTACTCCGAGTCCCTCCCGAATGTCCGAGCTCCTCACCCTATCTCTAAGGTTGAGCCCGGCCACCCTACGGAGGAAACTCATTTTGGCCGCTTGTATCCGCGATCTCGTTCTTTCGGTCATTACCCAAAGCTCATGACCATAGGTGAGGATTGGGACGTAGATCGACCGGTAAATCGAGAGCCTGGCTTTCTGGCTCAGCTCCCTCTTCACCACGACAGATCGGCTCAGCGTCCGCATCACTGCAGACGCCGAACCAATCCGCCTGTCGATCTCCCGATCCCTCCTACCCTCACTCGTGAACAAGACCCCGAGATACTTAAACTTCTCCACTTGAGACAGGACCTCTCTCCCGACCCGGAGTTGGCAAACCACCCTTTTCCTGTCGAGAACCATGGTCTCAGATTTGGAGGTGCTGATCCTCATCCCAGCCGCTTCACACTCGGCCACGAACCTACCCAGCAAGATCTGAAGGTCAGAGCTGGATGAAGCTAGGAGGACCACATCATCCACAAAAAGCAGAGACGAGATTCTCCTGCCACCAAACTCGACACACTCCACACCACGGCTGCATCTAGAAATTCTGTCCATAAAGGTAATGAGCAGAACCGGTGACAAAGGGCAGCCCTGGCGGAGTCCAACCCTCACCGGGAACAGGTCCGACTTACTACCGGCTATGCGGCCCAAACTCACGCTCCTCTGGTAAAGGGACTGAATGGCCCTTAACAGAAAGCCACCCACCCCATACTCCTGGAGCGTCCCCCACAGAGTGCCCCTGGGGACACGGTCATAAGCCTTCTCCAAATCCACAAAACACATGTGGATTGGTTGGGCAAACTCCCATGCCCCCCCTAATATATAGTAATAATATAAAATAAGATATAATATAATACATTTAATATAATCTAATATACCATAATATGAGGTTTTAAGATGATGCTTTTTAAACCAGGCGTATAAAAAGCTAAAACCATCAATATCCATGCATAACTGCTGCTATAACAGAAAGATGAAATAAAATTCCCTAGCTGTGGCATTTAGGATTAGGATTAGACTTCAGGTGTGGTTTAATCCCAGCTGAGGTCACCTTGATGACATGAAACCATCTGGTCTGACTTTGATCAGAGTCCAGATTTATAAACAAGAATTTATTTTCGGCTTTTTGATTCCTTTAACTTAAATGTGATGTTTGCACCATAAAGTAGGATGTTAACTGGTTTAATCCCACTAGGAACGACCCGTTTATTTGCCTCGGGGTAATTTTCACACAGTTTTATACGAACTGCGCCAGCACATCTCGCCGTTTACACACACGAGCTCCAGCTGATCCGCGACGCCACTCCAGCTAAACGCCAGATCACACAGATGCTCTGAGGGATGTAGACGCCTCCATCCTTACATCCCAGTGAGGATCCAAGCAGTAATCAGATTCACGATACCATTCCCATTTCCGTTCCAGCATCCAGATCTCGCTGGTTTATTTTTGTCTCTGCTTCACTTTTGGCACCAATCAGCAGCTGCAGAGAAAATTCAGACTAAGCCTGAAACCAGTTTTTGTTTTCGGGGTGGGTGGGGGTGCTTCCTGGGTATGCAGCTGCAGCTGGATGAGATGTATCACTGGATGTGGGAAAGCTGGAGGACATGGAGACAAAGTCTGGGTCAGAACCTAAAGAAGGATCTGGAGACCAGCTGTTTCAGAATGAGTCGTATTCAACTCGTCTTCTGAAAAGCAGCAAAAGAAAAGCTGGAGTTGCTTGAGATGATCAGAGCTGCTTCAGTCAAACTCAGATTAAATTATCTGATTGCATGCCAACTCCGTGGCTCCTTCACAGATCAGGCGGCGCTGCTATGATTCCAGACGGGAGTTAATGGAAAACTCGTCTCTGAATACAAATCCCAGCAGATCCACGTGCTCCTGCTGCTCCACAGGTGATTACCTCACCTGGTTTGCTGCTGCTTGTCCTCAGGCGTGATGACAGCACGTCTGTCAGACATGCACGCCCGTGCACACGCTACTGAGACAGACATGTCCGTGACTGCTGGGGAGAAGGTGACCTGATGACCCTGTGATGATGGAACTACAGACGACTGCTGGGGTTGAAGTGTGTTTGTTGGGTTTTGATGGTTTTCTGTTTGTCGACGCTTCTGCTCCTTCCCTTTCACCCCTCCTTTCCCATCCACACCCTTAACCCCTCTCATTCCCATAATGCATTGCTGCTGCTGCCCATTAAAGCTGGTGTTGGTTTGTCTTTCCAGTGTGATCCAGGAGAAGCGACCAAGCTGCTGTACGACCTCCTCTACACCGAGCCCATAAAGATCGTGCTGATGCCGGGTTGCAGCAGCGTCTCCACGCTGGTGGCCGAAGCTGCTCGCATGTGGAACCTCATCGTGGTGGGTCTCCACGCCAACACAACACCTCAGAACATCTCCTGCTGTTCAGGCTAACAACAAAGTATAGATTTGCCAGGAGGCTGAGTAATTTGGCACAAATCCTCTCCAAATAAGACATCAGTTCGTGTTTGAACAGACACCAGAACACTCTGACATCCAATAAGTCTGAGAAAATAATGATTTAAGTCTGCAGCCATTTAGAAAAGCACAAGGTGCTCCTGTGGAAAAGTCTGGAGGAATAAAATAGAACTAATCAACGTCTGTGAAACGCGTTATTGTCTGAGCGTACACAAGATGAGATATGATATGATTAGAAACGGATTAAATATGATTCACTATTTCAAATAAGTGAGATAAGAAGTTCTCAGAAAGCTGATTTCTTTAACACAAAACAAATGAAACTCACCTAGAAACAATCATTTATGTTCAGAGAGAAACTTCCAAACGTTTCTAAAGAGTCTCCTCCAGCTGGCCTGTAGAATTCTGAATGTGATCATTTAAGGTGGAATGTGAATATTTAAGGATGAAACAGACTTGTTTGTACTTTCTGCACTGAGGATCTAGTGTTCTTAGATCTATCTTCATCAGCGGGCTGCAGCAGGCCCTGGGTTTCACCACCAGGAGGCAAAAATGAGCTGATGAGTTGATTCTTTTCAAAAGATTAAAAGAAGAAAAACAGTTTCTGCGGGTTTTGTTTTAACTCGTTCCTTTCTGCACCTGCTAATCCCAGCTAGTCTGAGGGAATTAAAAATACACTCTAAATAATCCTTCATTTTCTGAGAAGAAAATCAGATAAAGGGGGAAGAAAGCAGACATGAAATAATAAACCACGTGACATCATCATGACATCAGGTGATTTCAGGTGTTTAATGGGTCATAGTTTGTTACCATGGATACTTAGTGAGGACGCTAGGCTTCCATCTACGAACCGCAAAGAGAAGGAACGTGTTGGAGAGTATCTGTAGGGCAGATGTGGAGCAGTGAGGAGATCCAGGTGTTTGTTGATGTCTGGTCAGAGGATGAGATGTTTGAGAGAGAATCCTGTTTCTGATCACTCGTGGAGCCGAGTTTTCTTCTTCAGGGATTTAGGACCGAACTTGATGGGATCAACTAGATCAGTGTTGTCCAACTCTGTTCCTCCTGGACCTCCTTCGGCTCCAACACACCTGAATCACTTGCTGAATAAAATCAGGTGTGTTGGAGCTGAAGGAGATTAAACCCCTCTGGAGTGAGTTCCTATGAAACGTTTATATTTCTCCTGCCAGTTAAATCCGATCTGGGCCAGCAGCTTTTTATTGTTTTTGCGCTAATTGAACTTTAGTTGTTTATTGATTTTAACGTGCAGCACCTTTAATTAGAGGGGAGGTTTTTATTTTGCAGCGGAGGAACAAACCGATCGTTTAGCTTCAGATTACAGCAACATAACAGGTTGGTTTTTTTTATCTTTTGTCCCAGATCTTTAAATCAGGAGATGTGTTGTTGCTCCGCAGATGTTTGTTTAGTTCCTCTCTTCATCCTCCGCTCTGCCTCATTAGCTGTTTTCATAATTGACGTTTCATCCTGAGATTAGAGAACAATCCCTCCTAGTTGTTGGCATCTGCCCTCCTTCTCCTCTCTGCTCTCCCATTCCTTCCTCCTCATTAAAACTCTTTTCCACTTTTTGACTTCTTCCCTTTCCTGTTGTCTTCAGCTGTTGTCGCTGCCTGGAGCTGGTCTGCTCTTTGTCAGCCTCCCAGCTCTATAGCTTCTTCCTCCTCTCCCGTCTCTTTCTCACCCACTCTTCATTTTCGCCTCGGCTCCAGCAGCTGATCCCTCCCCCCAGACAAAGGGATCTGTCTGTCTTTGCACCACGCCACCACCGACACAACCTCCGAACCGCCACACTCAATTATTTCTGCCTGCAGGAGCCTCTTGCATGTCAAACAGTCTCATCTGAGTCTCCGGGAGGCCGATGCTCCCTCCATCTCTGGACACTGATCAAGAAGCACTGGCTCCTTTTAGCACAGTTTGATCCCGTTCTCTCTGCGTAGAAACACTGGAGGTCGCAGACCAGCACTGATCCTCGGAGATGTGAGGAACTGAGAATTGAGTGAAACGGTTTTTGTATTTTTTTTGTGGTTTTGAGCTTTTGCTCATTTCTCGTAGAGTTCTGCTTCCTGTTCAGCCTTTAGTGTTTTTTAAAGTTTTGTTTGAAGAAAAACTCACATCTACGAGTTTGGTTCATGTTGGGTTTAAACATGTTGATTTGTTGCCGTAAAACATCCGAAAAACCAACAACTAGTCCAACTAGTTAGGGCTACGAGTGAGTTTAGCTTCAGCTAGAATAAAGTGTCTCAATAACTAGTGAGGGCAGCATTTTGTCCTAGCTCAGGTTAGTCAGTTGTGGAGCTTCACATTATAGATTTAGAATAAATATACAAATGGCTTGCCAAAGTTTCAGTTTTTGGATCACAAATCGACTAGCTCCTTCCCTCTGGATAGATGGGGGCAGAGCTAATCACACAGAATAAATCTTAATAAAGTGCCCAACATAACTGGATTTTAAAGGTCCCGTGATTATTTAAAACACATTTTTTTAATTAGCATTTCTGATTATAATCAGTCACTCAGAGTTTAACAGACAGGCTGAACATGTAAATAGTCTCCTACACCTGCATTAGCTTCTGATAGAAAATAGACAGTGAAACTCTAGCATTAGAAAAGCCCGACACATCTACCTCACACTGTCACTTCACATTCATGGACTCACCCATCTTGGCTCGCGACGGGGAAGGCTGTTGTTGGTTTAGCGCCCAGGAAACAGCAGAGAATGCCTCGGCTAGTAGAAGCTAACTGTAAGCATTAGCAACTCCACCACACGACCAAACTCCTCCAGCTTTGTGTTATTTGTAGAGATAAAGCATCCACATTACACAGCCAATGGAGTCAGTGGTAGAGTCACGTTGCTGTTATCTAATCACAGACGAGATGTCCAAATATCTGGAAATAAGACTCCATATTCTGTCAAGCGCAGCTCAACTCTGATCTGACTCATTTCTAGTTCCTAAAATAGGAGCACCAGAGCTTTGTTCTCTCCAGAGTACGACTTACAAGGCCTTCATTCCAAGAGACCACTGCAAATGTTTTGAAAATATGAGTGAAATTGATCTTTGACGGAATTGTTGTATTTTTTCAAAACAAAAGACCAGTGTTTAAAAAACATTTGTCATTTTGTTAATTTGTTGTTTTTTGCCTGGTTCTGTTTCTTGTGTTTGAAATTAAATGTATTTTGTTTCTGGGTGAAAATTCTATTTTATCGGGTTATTTTGTTGCTGAAGCTTTTTCCAGAGATTTCTCTGCTGCCTCCAGATCTTCCCCTTTTTAATTCCATCCTTCCTGGGTATTGATTCTTTAGTCTACCTGTCCTGGCCCTCTGGGCTTTGTTACCATGGGAGCCCACGTTGTAAAAGACGTTTGACATCCATCACAGAGCCACCTCTCTCTCCCAGCGGCGAACATCCGGCGGCCATGTCGGTAATGGGGCTGAGACGAGAGGCTCGGACTCGGAAGCTGTAATGGTTCCCTAAACGGCAGGTTCCTCATTTTTAAAAAAGGCCTGTCGAAGATTTTATTCCCAGTTGGAGCCGTGAAAGCGGTTGACAGAAGGACAACTCTCCTGTCCTCTTGGCTGCTGTGGAAACAAACCGCAGCTTCAAATAAGAATAACCAGAGTTATGAGCTTGTTCTCCAGCAGGAGCAGACGGGCATATTTATTCTATTTATTTATTTTTTCACACCTTTCTGATTTTACCTGAGTGGGCCATGCTCTTGATCAAACCACAGCTTTTAAATGAGACGTTTGCATTCTCAGTTTGAAGCATTTTTATCCTTATTTAACATGTGTTTGTTCTGTCTGTGTCCTCAGCTGTCCTACGGTTCCAGCTCGCCGGCCCTGTCCAACCGCCAGCGGTTCCCCACCTTCTTCAGGACTCACCCGTCGGCCACCCTCCACAACCCCACCAGAGTGCAGCTCTTCAAGAAGTGGAAGTGGACACGCATCGCCACCATTCAGCAAACCACAGAAGTTTTCACTTCAGTCAGTACCTTCACCTTTTTCACCTCAGTTTGACAGTTTCTTCTACCTCCAGCAGGTTGCTGCTTGGGCTCTTATCTCCTAGCCTTCCCTGCATCCTATTGGTCCATCCTAGTCCTGTCTGTCTAGCCAAGTCTTTTTGTTCCAGCCATGTCCTGGCTAAGACTTGTTGGTCCAGCTCAGTGCCAGCTGGGTCCTGTTGGTATGGCTGATTCCCGACTGTGGGTTCCCAGGTCACCCACTCACCTGCGGATGTTTGTTTATGAGACTTTTCGTGTTCTCGGGCTACAGCACAGCTTTAATCAATCTCTCCTGGTGACTGATGGGGGATTTTTGAAGTCATTTGTTGGAATATTGGTTGTGAGAAATATTGATCAAGCAATACATCCTCCTCAGAAGCCAGAGTCGATGCCGTGGCATCTGCTCCGTTTCCCCTTAATGGAAGTTAATGATTCTGCTGCTTCCCTTTTCTTCTCACATTCTTCTTTTCTCGTTTCCACGCCTGTCGAAAAATCGCCCCCATTTTTCTGGTTTATTTCTTGAGGAAAAACACGCTTCTTCACATGTGATCCCATGATAAAAAACATGACCACATGGGACCACATGGACTCCTTAAAATGTTCTGAATTCATGCAGGAAAGGTGCAGAACGTGTTACTTCATTAGGTTTTTCTCATGTGAAGTTCACATTTTTGTTCCAGTAGTAAACGTGTGAAGAACATGTGTTTTATGGGTTAACTTAATGTGTAAAACTGGGTTAGACTAGACGAGAAGGAGCTGCCCCCCATTGAAACAGCCGCTTAAGGTGGCACTGATCAGGATTCCTCCTGTGGAGGTTTTCCAGACATAAGGAGCAGATCCCTGGGCGGACCCAGAACTCACTGGACGGATCATATATTCTGCTTGGTCTGGGAACGCCCGGGCTCCTCCATGAGGAGCTGGGGAGGGAGGTCTGGATTTATCTCTTGGATCTTTTACCTTCATGACCTGACCTTGAACGAGCAGAGGAGAGGGATGGATGGGGATATCAAAATGGGGAATGAATGTGGAAACAGAGCCGTATTTGGCCGTGTTTTGTCCTGATTCCCAATTGTTGTAATTTTGAGAAATTTCCTTTAATCCTTTTAAAATTGTAATATTTTCAGGTAAGTTTTAGATTTAAAATCTGAAGAAAAACAATTATTATGTAGGAAAATATAGTTTTATACATTTAATCTCTGAAATCGTAGTTCATATTTTTCTGACTAATTTCTGATTTGATTGATTAATAATGGCAAACTTGACATTAAACTTAGAATTTCTGATATATTTATCCAGATTTGCCCACTTAGATTAATTTATTAGTATATTTTTAAATCTAGAATGACCCTAACATGCCATCTCATAAATGTTCTTAGCAGTCCTGTCCCATCCTGACAGGAGTTTTGTCTGTAATGTGTTTTTATTCCCACCTCCCTGCTCAGGCTTCCTGCTGTTCTTATGAATAAAGCTCCATGTGATCAGTGTTTCTGTGCCACAGAAGTATCAAATGAAGCATTAATGCTGTGTTCTGTTCTGAGCTCGCTCAGAACCAGTGCTGTAGAGCTGGTTATCTCTGAGAGGAGCTGCAGCTCCGCTCCATCCTCAGCTGTGATGCTCGTCTACATCCCAGATTGTGTTATTTGATTGTTTTGTTTTTGTCTCTTGCTGTCGGGCTTGTTTTTGTCTTTCACCCAGTCACCTCTCTGCGTCTCAGCTCGGCCGCCTCTCTAACCTCCCCCCTCTCCCCGTCTGTCTCCCTCTGTCCTCTCCTTTCATCTGACAGACTCTGGACGATCTGGAGCAGAGGGTGAAGGAGGCAGGCATCGAGATCAGCGTTCGTCAAAGCTTCCTCACCGACCCGGCTGTCGCTGTCAAGAATCTCAAGGTGCTTTGATTAAAAATTCACCTCAGCTTCTGCCCCTCCACCCCCCCGGCTCACAGCTGCTAACATTAGCATAGAGGTGATTTAATGCAGGAAATTAATGCGCCATGCTAATTATCAGCTCCTGAGCAGCAATATGTGCCATCCTGTCAAGCAGCAGGACGTTGGCACATTCTGCTGCCACATCAAGCTGTGATATAGTGAAGTCAGATTCCTGCTGCTGATGCAACTAAGAAATGTTTTCTGCTGATTTCACTCAGCGCCAGGATGCTAGGATCATCGTGGGACTCTTCTATGAAACCGAAGCCAGGAAGGTGTTCTGTGAGGTCAGTGTTGACCAGTGACTGGGTTTGGGGCTGAGCAGAGCGACTGAATGACACGGAATAATCCCCCCGACTCCTGCAGGTGTTTAAGGAGAAGCTCTATGGGAAGAAGTATGTGTGGTTCCTGATTGGCTGGTATGCAGACAACTGGTTCAAGATCAAAGACCCAGCCATCAACTGCACGGTGGAGAACATGACGGAGGCTGTGGAGGGACACGTGACCACTGAGATCGTCATGCTGAATCCTGAGACGGTCCGTGGGGTCTCCAACATGGTGAGCTGCATTAGACTGAAGCCTGAACTGGAGTATAAAGTAACAGAACAGCAGTGATTCCTGCTGGTTTCTAACACATCAGGAATTAAAACCCACTGAGAGATGTCCCCGTTTTTCAGCTAAACTCACTGAGTGGAAGAAAATGATTTTAATGAGCGTAGATCAGCTAGATTATAAATGCATAAAACAGCTGACCTGAGGTTGTGGATCTCTGAGACGTTCTGATACAACAACCCGATACAATGATCCGATACAACAAATTGGTACAACTAATCGATAAAGTAATCCATTTCAACGATCCAATACAGCAATCTGACAAAACCGATACAGCGATCTGACACAGTTTTCTGCTACAATGATCCAACACAGCAATCTGGTACAATGATCTGATATAGCGATCCTATCTAAAGATCTGATGCAACAATCCATTACAACGTTTCGATGCAGGGATCCAACATAATGATCCAAAACAGCGATTCCATTCAACCATCTGTTACATCAACCTGATTCAATGATTCAGTACAACAAATTGATTCAGCAATCTGACACAACCATCCAATACAGCGACCCGATACAACAATCCGACCCAGTAATTAGAAAATCGAGCAACTAAAACAGATTCAAAACCATACAGTATCAATCAGTCACATGTTAATTGGCAGACTCACGCCCATGAACACACACAAATTTCAGGATACAAAACTTTGAATCGTGAGTAATCTCAAATTAATCTCAGATTATAAATGTATCATAACGTGATCTGCATGATCAGTGAAGTTTGCTGTTTGTGGATGGTTTTTTTAGACCTCACATCAGTTTCTCATGCTATCTTTATTTGTAAACAAGTGACCATAATACAAATGTTGAAGCTCCACCTCTTTTTGTATCAAGCTTTAAGCCCCACCCCTCCATGTAGTACTCATATAGTTAGTACCTTGCTGATATATCAGCAAATATCTATTTTAATACATTTAGTTGTAATTAACTTTTAAAAGAACATCCTTATTGTGTGTGAGGAAACCTCTTTACACTCTGGTTCCTGGTTGGTCGCCGCCCACCAAACAAGGAAGCTTTTCATCCTGCTAGATGTAATCTAGATTACAAATACACAAAATTCAGATGAACTGAAAGTCAATCTCAAATCTAACTCCATATAAGGCAACAGATCCAGTAGTGCTGTGTAAATCTGGGAATTAATATCAATATTGATTATCACCAACTCTCATCAAACCCATTCTGGCTAGGATCTACAGGTAGAAAGGGCCTATTATTTATTTTATGTTAGTGTTATATTGTTATAGCATTACATTATGAAATAAATATATTTGTTATTTAGTAGTTATATGAGAGTAAAATCAATATAATCCATTATTTTTCATTCTGATGAATTACTGGGACAGCAGTGGCTCAGGCGGAAGAGCGGGTTGCTCAGTAATCAGAAGTTCTGACCAGAGAATGCTACTGTTGTGTCCTTAGGCAAGACCCTTAACCCGCCTTGCCTGCTGGTAGTGGTCGGAGGGACCGATGGCTCCAGTGTTCAGCAGGCCTCGCCTCTGTCAGTGCATCCCAGGGCAGCTGTGGCTACATTGTAGCTTATCCCCACCAGCATGTGAATGGGTGAATGACTGATTGTAAAACACCTTGGGGGGGTTGTAGAACTCTAATGGGCCATTCCCATTTGTACCGGGTCGGCCCGCGCCGGGTAGCCCCAGTCGGCCCCAGCCTGGCCCGGTTGATTCCACACATCCTTGTCTTAAGCCCATGTGGGCTGATTCTACCCACCAATCAGAGGCTTGCTCTAATGGAAGGTGTGAATTTGCTGTCAGCAGTGGGTGTGTTGGCCCTGGTCGGCCTGAAGCAGACCCCCTCGAGAAGAGGGCTGAGAATGAGCCTTGGTTGGCTCGGAAAAATACCAGGCCACCCAGATATGTAAACAACCTTTGCTACCCGGCCCGGGCCGACCCGGTACAGATGGGAATGGCCCATAAGAAGGCGCTAAACAAATCCAGGCCAGTTTATTATAAATCTGTGTTGCTAAAAGTAAATACAAACTCTAATAATAACTAACATAATTAGATACAAATATATTCAGGACAATCCTTAATGTTCAGCTCAGATTAGGACTTGTTTGAATTATAAACTCTGATGTTTATCATTTATATTTCCTTTGCTTAGAGTTTATTAATGCGTAAAGGAAAAATCTGAGTTTTTTTTTTTTCATTTTTGCTTCCTCTTCCACTAATTAGTGAATCATGTTTTACAGATCTGTTTAACTGAGAGGATGGATTCAATTTTTTATTATGTAATTTCTGCTTGTGACTAGATTTAGTCATTTACTGTAATATTTTATCTGCTGTGCCTGTTTTGAACGTTTTATTTCCACTTACTGTAAAGTGACCTTGAGTTTTTAGAATGGCGCTTCAAATAAAATGTATTAGTATTATTATTATATTCCAAAGCCCTTATTTGTTTTCTTGAAAAAATGGGTTTTATAGAAAGTAGAAAAAGGATAATTGTGAATTTTAGTCTACTTTTCTAGGGTTTGGATGTTGAGTGAACACCTGATAGAGATCAGTTGAGGGTTGAACCACATGGTTCTAGACTCCGAGCCGTCACGCTGAGTCTGAGCTCCACAGGACGTCTGAAGGCTCTCACACGTCTTTAATAATTAAACCAAGCATGGGTAACTTCCTATTTTCTTCCCTTTGACAGAAAAACCTACCAGACTCATTATTTAGTATAAATTGCGTTTTTCCCTCTCTCGGTTAGGTTTGAGCCGAATCCTCCTGTGTTCCTGTTATCAGCTGCTCTGAACTCTGATGTCTTTCTTCTTGGATTTGCTTTTAACACATAGTTTCAGTTCTTTGTTCATGTGCAGCGGTAAACTTTCCAGCTCTTATGTAGAATCGTGTGAGACAGGAGTTATTTCTGGAGAAGCCGGAGCATCAGGAACAATAATGACACGGCTTCGGTGAACTGTGTATGACCTGAATCCATTTAACGTGAAGCATGTGGTGGATTACTTGCGTTAAGCATAACTGGTTTGTTGCTGTTTCTGATTGGTGGAGATGCTCAGCTAGCTGCTCAGGTACCCGCCGGCCTCTTCTGCTTGCCTCCTCTAATCCCCTTACTCTGCCTCCTCCCTCTGCTGCTCCCCATTAGTCGACCTTCTCCGTCTCTGCTGGTCTGTTGTGGATCATTTCTTCATTTGTCTCATTTGCCCCCCAGCTCTTCCTCACTCATCCTCCTCTCTCCTCCTCTTCATCAGCAGCTGTTGTTTATATTCATGCAGCACCTGCCGCTACCTGCAGATTTCAGCTGTTGATGTGCTGCTCAGCGGTTGATAGGAATTACAGAAAAGACCTCCTGCTGATAGTCAAACTCATTCAAATACAATTTCTAAGTTTGAATGGCATATTTCATGTATCTGTAGCTACAGGGCTGAGTCGGTGCTGCAGGGTTCAGCAGGATCATGTCAGCTATAGCTTCTACTGGATAGTGGCAGTTTTAAATGGCAAAATGCTTGGGTGGAATTTTAATTAGATGAAATTGACATAATTGAATTGGAGGTGTGTAGGCATAATTGGCCCGAGAGAATCCACGGAGACGCCCTGATGAATAGTGTCCGCCGCTTCAGAGGAAGCTGATTGGTGTTAAACCACAGAAGCCAAAAAAATAAATAAAAATACTGCCTGGCGAGAAAAGAAATTGAGGCATAAATCCTTGAATTTTCAACTAAGTGGCTTAAAATGGTCTCAAAACAAAAGCAGAGTCTGAAGCATCATCATTTATTGCTTTAATGTTGGTAAGGTGCAGTTATAGACACAGAAATGTATTAATTAGATTATATTGTTCAGACTAAATGTCATATGGTCTAATTTTCTAAAAAAGGATCAGTTCTGAAGGGTTTATCAATGTTATGGAGAAAATAAATTATGCATCAGAACAGCTGCAAAGCAGAACAACATTCATCTGAAGTTAACAAAATTAATTTACTTCTAAATAAAACAGAACCAAAACAGCCCAAAAGAAAACAAAACCAACCTTTAAATAATAAATGGGCCCTAACGATTGGTCCTAAGAGAAGGTGGATTGATTAAGTTATTGATTCTATTGATGATGTTAATGTCAATACTTTTTTGTTTTCTACTCTGCTTTCAGTGTGTTCCTCCAGTTTTAATCAAAAATCAAACATGTAGGTCCAGAGAAGCACGAACCATCTGTTAGCATTTGGTGCATCGACTCAGAAAGTCGTGAGGAGGGTGAAGCAAAAAATGTCACTGTGTAGTAGTTAGCTTTGTTAGCATATACTCTAAATGCCTGTTTACTTTTTCTTGCACACACACACACACACACACACACACACACACACACACACACACACACACACACACACACACACACACACACACACACACACACACACGCACGCACGCACACACACACCAAGGCCTGACAGTTATAGGCCATCAGCCTGCCTTAACGTCTTTTATACCAACATTTCTAGTTAGCTCAGACGCAGCTAGCTCAGCTCTAAATGTCAAATTAAAACAGGAACAACTGTTTTCTGTTCAGTTTGGTTGTTCGTTTAAAGCCTTTCAGGTTGGTCCATGTCTTTTAGTCCCAGATGTCAACAGTTCTGTTTAGCTTAAATGCAGTTAGCTTATAGTTAGCTTCAGTAGCGTAATGCCGCATGCCTCTGACAATCAAAACAAAACACACTCACAAAGGAGTGTTTTGTAATCATGAATCATCTCTGTTCAGTTCACAAATAGCTGAAGAAGTCAAATGCTAACCTGTTGCTAATCTGCGATAAGAATTAAACATGAACATCACAGTTTTATTTTTATTTTTTTTGTTTTTGACAAAACGTTTTTTGAACTAATTGAGTTAATTTTCATTCCTGGGGTGGATGTAAAATCACTGAATATGTCAGTTTGGATATTTCCTTTTACTTCAATTTGTCTCAAAATACTGTAATTTTGATTAAAACAAGTAAATACGGTACTTTTTTTCTGATGACTTCTTCTTTCGGTCTCTTTCAGACATCTCAAGAATTTCTTGGATCCTTGATGTCTCGCCTAGGAGGGAAGAACCCAGAGGAGACGGGTGGATTTCAGGAGGCTCCCCTGGCCTACGATGCAGTGTGGGCTCTAGCTCTGGCCCTGAATAAAACTGTGGCACCCCTGAAGGCCAGAGGCCGACGTCTGGAGGACTTTAACTACAACAACCATGACATAACAGCAGAAATCTACAGAGCTCTCAATACAAGCTCCTTCGAGGGCGTTTCAGTGAGTTTTCTGTTTTGTTCACACTTTATGGTTCAGCTCATTGACATTAGGTTCAGCTCAACACAGGGTTTTTACATCTACTTTAAGAATACATTTTAAGATTCTTCAGCACCTTGGTGATGATTTACTGATTGTAACTGTACTAGAACCTGTTTCAGCTAATCTTAAGTAGTCACATCATGCTTTTTACAGTGAAATTCCAGTGTCATGATTATAATTGTCATTTTTAACTTTTTTTTTTTCAAATTCATTACTGATCAATGCAACCACACCAAGTACCCCTCTTTCATAAAATAATTCTGATGATAATCAGAGTGATCATGTGCTTTTCAAAAAAGATTACACGATGGCGGTAAAAATGGGGCATGGGGGAGGTCTCTGCGCTGTCGCGAACTTCCCTTTAGCTTGAACAAACCTTGCTTTTTATTACGATTGAAGCCGCACTGCTTACATTTTTTTTGACAAGCCACTCCTCCACAGTCCCTGTGACTGTGATCTGAGCTTCAGCTCTAATGCAGAGAAGCACTTGGAGCTCTACACTGCTCCGGTTTACTGTCTCAGCTGATTCTGTTCACAAAAGCAAAACTTACTCCCTGAGTTTACTTTGTCAAAATAAAGTTCAGCGATAATTACACACGTGATCATTGCGCTAAGGCGTAACCTTCATTTACAAGTCCTGCATTTCAGTAATATTACTATCATGCTTGGCGACATGATAGGTGTAACATTCCCACATGTCCATGCTGCCGCAGCTCCCTGTGGTGACAGTATTACGCTGATTTGCTGGCATGGTGTGACTTATGAAAACGGCTTATGCTAAAGCAAACAATAGCTAGCTGTTTAATGCTAACAAGTTCTTGTAACTTTAGCAACAGCTGCTAACCTCATGAACTCACTATTAAAGTGGCAGTGTGTGTTTTTCCTGGTGATAGGAGGCAGTAGATAACTAAATCGTTGCAAGCAAGCAGTACTTTTGTGTTGGAGTAAGACCTTACCAACGGATGCCCATTAGGGTCAAAAAGTCCTGGGGAGTGCAAATGTCAGCAAAATAAAAAGCACGTCAGACTGACTCCCTTTCATCACTGAAAGTGAGCGAAGAGGTAAATGTGTAAAACAACATTTATGAATGGCGAAAGTTTTGTAACCATTTGTTACTAAATGCATTTTGTCCTCATGGGCTCCCGCCCAGAGACTTATACCCGCTCCCATGTATTTTAGACTTGATATTTGTGGTTATATGTTACAAAGCCGCCAAAGCCTTTCTTCTTCCGGCTCTTGGAGAGTACAGACGCTTTTTTCCTCCTCTCCTCCCTATCTTATCCCAAGGCTCTTTTTCTGTCTTTGGGTGTATGGCGCTTCTGCATTTTTTCTGGAAACTGGAAATGATTAAAAATGGATCTGGTCAGTTGGTCTCTCAACGCGATTGACAAGATTTTTTCAACTATGAGAATGGGAAAAGGGGCTCCCGGTTGCCCCTCTGGGACAGAGCCAGCTGGGCATATCATGGACTCTTGAAAACAGTGGAACCTCATCTGCCTCTCTCAACTGTCTGTAGAGGATTCTGAAGATGTCTGGATATTCGGGGTGTTGGTGTCTGGATTCCTGCTGTTTGGCATGAGCGGTTACCTGGCTTACCGGAAAATTTATGAGCTTTCGAGGAATATCGGCTCAATCCCGAAGCTCAGGGATGGATTACACCGCGCTGTGAATGCACAAACTCATATAATTGTCGAGATGAGTCGTAAGCTTGGAACGTTGGCTGAGATTAAGGCGCTGGCACAGAAGGTTGATTCGATCAAGGAGCAAGTTGACGGGACAGCATGGGTGGGAATAGATTAATTTGCGCCATTATTGGATCTAGAGGGGTTGGAGACCAACATAACTTTAAAACAGAGAGGAAATTATCTCTGTCTGGCCCCAAAACAAGTTCTTATCTTAATCTGGTGCCCTTGAGCCTGTGAGGCTGAAGTGATCCCCCCCCCCCCACGAAGAAATGTGGAATGTCGCCGTCGCCATGGCAACTCTGTCTCCCTATCCCAGCCTGGGCGAGACTGTGACTGGTGAAAGCCGTGGAACTGTTTCCAGGAGTCACTGTGCTTTCTAACCAAATTACCCCCTCCCCTGCACAAACGGAGGTGACGAGCGCTGCTCATTGCGGCTGCATGCACTGATGTGAGGATAGTCCCCAACCCTACCTCCCCACCTAGTGGACACTTATGTTGTGGAATGTCTGAAGTCTGTTGCATTTCTGTCTGAGGTGTTTTTTGCATAGCAAAGCGGCCCTCACTGTGGAGGGTAACTCTGAAGTGCCTTTGTTTCCTCCACCTGACTCAATCAGGTCCAGTGATCAAAGCCTACCAGGCTAAAGACCAAAGGTGACAGATCATTTGCTGCTGTGGCCCCCAGACTCTGGAACTCTCTCCCCCTGAGCCTGAGATCAGTGGACTCAGTAGTCTCCTTTAAAAAGCAGCTGAGGACTCACTTGTTCAAGCTGGCTTTTGTATGACCTTCTTCAACACTCTCTCTTTATTCTGCTCTCCCCACCTATTCCACCTTCCTCAGGATCCACTGATTTCCCTCTTTCCCATTCACTCTCTCTCTTTCTTAACATTTTTTCTTTTAAATCCCAATTGCCTATTTTTGCTCTGTTAAATATATTTTTAAACATTTTCTAAATGCTTTTTATATTTTTACATTTTTTTTGTTTTTGTGAAGCGCCTCGTGATTTTTATCTTGAGAGGCGCTACAGAAATGATATTTTCTTCTTCTTCTTCAATCCTCATATAAACCCTCTGATCACTATTAAGGTAGCACGACTCGGGTTGCGAACGACCACAGTCACCAATTCTTGTCATGTGTCTATGTCAGTATGTCTGATCTCAGAATTGTGCGTACTGAAACTCTAATTTCCCTCTGGGATTAATAAAGTGTCTTTGAATTGAATTGAATGCTTTCGAACAACTGGGCATCATTTCATTCATTTTCAACAACATTTTGATGGATATTTCTAGAGATTATTGATAAAAACCATGTATTGTCTCTTTAAGTTCAGCTTAAAGACTAAAGCTAAAAACTAAGAAAACACATCTTTAGCATCACTTGTGTTATTTTATGAACACACACGAGAGTGATCAGGATCAGAGTGTGTCACATCTAAAGTGGTCCGGACAGAAACATGTTCTGTTCTTAGACGATTCTAAGACCTCTCTGCTTTGGCGGTTTATGGGTTAAGCGATACTTCCTGTTAGTTTCTCTGATTTAAAGCATCTTCCTCCTTGTGTTTCAGGGCCAGGTGGTGTTTGACGCTCAGGGTTCCCGGATGGCGATGACCCTCATCGAGCAGCTGCAAGGTGAACTACACCCCCTACCCTCACCCTGTCCTTTCACTGCGTCTGCAAGGAGAAACACACGCCACTCACTCAAACACAAACGGATAACAGCTTTTAGCTGAATCCACCTTCGCTTTCTGTGATTTTGGGGTCTTTGACCCTGATGCTCTAACTCATTCATGCAAATGGATTTGATTCATGAATGTGGCGACTCAGGGCTTCACTCTAATTGGGCACAAGTTTTCATTTTAAATCTGTTTCTGGAAATGGCATCCTATTTGTCACCACTGACTTAATGAGTTTCTCTGCTCAAGATAAGGTGGAGGATTATTTCCTACCTCTGTTCTCCTCCTAAAGGATGAGAATTTATAATCCTGCCCCCTTCTCTCTAACGTTCTGTCTCCTATTTCCTGCCGTGGCGTCGAGGTAATTTGACATCCAAAATGAGACGACCTGACTGGAATCCCTAAACGCCGGACCCAATCAGTATTCCTGATCAGCGCCGCTACATAAGCTTTTATTTCTTGTCCTTTTCTCCTTCGGTCTTTGTCATCGCTCTCTAAGTTTCAACCTTAATTTATTTTTTATCTTTATCTTGACTTTATTACCTGTGGTTTAAATAAACAGTTTTCTCAGAGAAAACGACCTGGACTAAGATAATTTTTTGTTTAACCCTTTAGGAGGCAGTTACAAGAAGATCGGGTACTATGACAGCTCTCAGAAGAACCTCTCCTGGTTCGGGAACGATGTTTGGATCGGTAAGTCCCTGTTTGTGTTACATCCTGGATCTCAGACTTCAGAACCAAGAGCTAACTTGTGGAATTCGTGGAATCAGGATGAAACATGTCTGACTTTGGGTTTGGATGCTCATCTGATAATTAGGAAAATTAAACTGTAATCAGAATGCTTGCCTCAGGAGATTTCATTCTCAAACCAGTAAATAAATAAATAAATAAATAAAACATGAATTTATTAAGATTTTTATAAACTGCAGTAATAACATGAAAGCTAAAATATTTTTATTATTTTAGCTGCTAGCAAACAAAGATACTATCATATCCTAACAAGCCTGAGTCATTATGAAGTTCATATTTTACCTGCTAAAGATTGGAAGGCCTCCGTTAAGAGAAATAGGGACTGATAAGATTAGTTCAGCACTCTATAAACTAGTGATGCACCGATAGGAAGATTTTTGGGTTATATTAATATCACTGTTATGGCTGATAACTAATACCAATACACTGACAAATCTAAAATCAGCAGATTTTGTATAGAATGAAAATTATTTAAGCTGTTACGTCTCATGTACACACACATACACATTTATGCTTCTGAGATGATTGCAATCACTGTCACCTGACTAAACATATGCATAATGCAGATATATTGTGCATCCTTACTACAAACTTTTCTACAAAATTGAATTGTACAAAGTAAAACAATAACTCCTTCTTTCTACTGCATGCAAACGCGTCACGAAACGACCACGAAATGTAGTACGCCACCATTATAGTGGATGAGTTACTTTCCACCACCTCTGCAGTTTAGATCATGCCAGACAGGAAGTCAAACACAAAGCAGTGTGAACACCTCCGCAAATTTTCAAAATTAAACATGCAGGTAAACGTATATCATTTCCTGTTATAACCCTTGTATGACCACAGACCTTTTTTGATACAAGCAGCTGTCATTCTGCTTGCTTACTAATGCGTGTGGTATTCTGAAATCACGTGTGGTGTAGCAATTCTCCCATGATTTTGTGATGTCGGTCATGGGATCAGCTCTGTGGAACGCTTTCACTCCCGTTCCACGTCAGTGTTTTGAGACTTTACTTAGTAAAAACTCACCCAGAACCCTCAGTAACAATAATAACTAAAGCGTTCCCGTTCTGGAGAACAACAAGGTCAATAAACAACAAACTACAAAAAACAAACGTTGTAGTTCAGAACTTTTAAAGTTAAAGTTAAAAGTTAAAGTCCCATTAGTTGTCACACACACTGATGTGTGTGCGAAATTTGTTCTCCGCATTTGACCCATCCCCTGGGGGAGCGGTGAGCTGCAGACACAGCTGCGCTCGGGAACTATTTGGTGGTTTAACCCCCCAATCCAACCCCGTAATGCTGAGTGTCAAGCAGGGAGGCATTGGGTCCCATTTTTTTTTCTAAGTCTTTGGTATGACCCGACCAGGAATTGAACCCTGATCTCCCAGTCTCAGGGCAGACACTCTACCACTAGGTCACTGAGCTGTATAACTAAATAAGTTCCATACAGTCTGTTGTTATTATCAGTGTTAAACTCCAGTTTGGTTAAGTTTGGACAGGGAAACTGTCCCTTTCCTGGTTCCTGTCACTTTAAATAGAAACATAACTTCATGTCACTCTTCATCAAAGTTGCAAGGAGAAACTCAGAGGAGCCACATGTGGCTTCAGAGCTAGGCTAGGCTAGTCTGAGCTCAGCCAGGACCAATGTGGGTTGCTCTGGCTATAACGGCTTCAATTTCCTAAATTTCCCAGCAGCCTATGTGATGTTATTTTATTATTCTTCACACCATCTACAGCTTTACACAACAGGGTTGTTTTGGCCGGAATATTTAGAGCTTCCTGTTGGACTCAGTCCCTGGGTGAGGTGCTACATGTAGCTGGTAGTGGTATTTACACTTGTGTATTAGCAGAGAATTCAAAGTTAATGGGGAAGGAATTCCACATAAATATTCAGAGAATTACACATGAATAAATGTAGAGTTCCATGTAAATAATCAGAGAATTCCACATAAATGACCAGGGTTTTAAGAAAACAGTTCAAGAAATCTATGTAAATAATCAGATAGTTCTTTGTAAATATTAAGATAATTTTATGTAAAAATGCAGAGGTTTTCACTGAGAATTTCACATAAATAACAAGATAATTATTTGTAAATATTAAGAGAATTCCACATAAAAAACTTAAATGTGTAAATTACCCTCCTGTGTTAAAAAGCCTGCAATGGTGCTTTATGTTGGCAGCAACACATGTTGAGCTCAGACTAACTGTTAGCTCATCAGTCCTGAAAAATGTGGTCTTTATTTCTCAGAACAGAGGCTGTTCAGGAAGCTAATCATAATGTTTACACTAAACATTCTTAAAAAAGACAAAGAGTTTCATAAAAATCTATAAAAAAAAACAGTTGGTTACATCATATTTTCATGAAAAGCTGCTTTTAATAGAATAATAACGACTAATAAGTAAAAACTTGTAATATCCAAAAGATGCTTTAACATAAATAAATCAAGCAGTTTGTTTATTGTTCTCTCGACTTGTCTTTATTGTGGGACTATTAATGGAAATTAGCGTTTTTGCTAATTCCGACGTAATTACAGCAACATTGTACGTTCATTAATATGCATGGTGTCATGCCCTGCTGTGAGACCTGTTCATCCATCCCACTTCCTGTTTTATTTTGGTGTCACATCTCCTGTTTCAGTTCTGTTTCCTGTTCCTCATCACTCTGATTTCTCCCAGCTGTTCTTTTAACCAGCTTCTGTTCTCTTTCAGTTGCCAGTTCGTTAGTTTTCATTCTGTTGTTCCAGCCAGGCATTAACTAATCTCTGGGTCCTTTGACTCATCAGTTCTGTTTTTTGATCAGTTTTTGATCCCTAGTTAAATAAGCCTTTGCCTAAATAAAAGCCTCATTTTGCCAAACTCTGCATTTGGGTCCAGTCCTTCATACCAGCCCTGACACATTTTCCCAACATAAATAAATCAGTATTAATATCACTTTAATTTTCCTCAGTTGTTTTTTAAACTGGAACTTTCTGAACGTGTGATTCCATAGAAGTTCTGGGAGATTCTGCTCTTGCAATGTTTATTAGAGCCGTTGAGTTTTTTCTGCTTCCATCAAAGAAAATAACAGAAACAATATTAGGAATGATGTCACTGAAGAAAACTCTGTAAAGTCTCTAAATGAAGCAGAACCCTGATCCCGTCAGACAGACAGAACCCACTCTGGTTCTGTATCAATGTCATTCCGACACCCCGCCTGCTGGTCTGGTTCCTCCCCGGAGACGTGACATGCTTGCATCACGGATCAGTCCTTCATGGCCCACTGGCCTGAGGACAGCTGCTGTTTTTTGGCTCTTAAAGGATTGAACCGGGTCCTGGAGTGGTACAGATTCCAGGTCAGTATCAGAGGCAAAGGTAGGGTGACCTGTATCCAGGTGCTGGTTCAGAATCTGCCAGGTTTAGTCCATGTTTGGGTTTTGTCTAGACAAGGCAAGGCATCTTTATTTGTATAGCACAGAAGCAATCCAATGTGCTTTCCAGGTGCAAAATCAGCAAGAACATAAAATATTAAAATGAATGTGGCATCATAAAACAACAGATTTTAAAATAAAATAAAAAACACAAAGTTAATTAGATGTAAGAAATAAAATAAAAAGGCAATGTTAAAAGGTGAGCAGTTACAGTGCAGAAAGTGCAGCATAAGAAACATTCAATCAAAGGCTGATGAATACATTAAAGTTTTTAATTTTGATGTAAAAGTTACCAGAGTTGGGGCACATTTGAGGTCATGAGGAAGCTGATTCCAGCAGCATAGTAGCTAAAATCATCCTCACCCTGTTTGGTTCTGACCTGTTTCCTAAGGATCTCAGAGCCCTGCTGGGTGTATATCCTGGAAGGAGGTCCAACATGTATTTTGGCTTCATGCCACTGAGTGATTGAAAAACTAGTAGAAGTACTTTTCAATTCAATTCAATTCAAAAATACTTTATTAATCCCAGAGGGAAATTGATTAAATCAATTCTGTAGTTTACTGGTAACCAGTGTAGAGATTTAAGAACAGGAGTGATGTGTTTGGTTCTCTTTGTTCTTGCAAAGACTCTAGCAGCAGCATCCTGAATAAGCTGCAGTTGCTTCACAGCTTTTCTGAGAAGACCAGTCAAAAGACCATAATAATTCAGCCTGCTAGAGATGAACACATGAATGAGTTTCTCTAGGTCTCTTCTTGTCTTTATGTATTTGATTGTCTCCATAGAGAAGTTTTCTTCTTCTGGAGGATGATTTTGTTTTTTTTTTACCGAATAAACACGCTTGATAGGAAGTGGGTCATTTTCCGGCTGTTTGGAGCTGTCTCGGATCAGGGATACTGTGGATGGATGTTAGGGTTGTGGCGTAGTAAACACCGTCATTTTGGATTTAACCCCCTCTCTGTGCGTTTACCAGTTGCCCCCCGCTGCTCGGTCTCCTTAACAACCGCTTCGGCTCGACTTTCCTTCACATCGCTGTGGCAACAGCAACAGAGCTGGTCTCCATGGCAACACCCTGTCCCGATTCTTTCATCAAGGACGGAGGAGGGCTGCGAACACAGCGACTGAATGGACAGTTGACACGCACAATATCACGCATTCCACATACTAATGCTCCGTGTTTGTCCTCCGGCCTCCAGCAAAATATGAAGAAAACGTGTGTGTGTGTGTGTGTGCGTGCGTGCGTGCGCACGCGCGCAGTGACATTCAGATCAACCTGGTAATAATTAGCCTGCATGTGGAATTGAAAATAAAATCCTAAATTTGAAGGTTATGAAGACATGAATTTCTCACATTTTCTTTTTTTACTGTGATCAGGTAATAGAGTTTTTACTGTGAATATTCATCTCTGTGGCTCATATGTTTTTTATGTTTTTTTAAACACTTTGAACTCAGATTATGTCTTCTGTGATTTATTTGTGCTGAAAAAAATTAAACACAAATGTTCTGAATAACATATCCGGGAAGGAAAATAC